TTTTTTTTTTGGTACTGGGGATCTAACTCAGGACCTTGCGCTTGCAACACAAGCAGTGGAACCACTGAGCTAAATCCCCGGCACCCATACATATTTTTTAAGGTTTTGTTTTTCTTTTTTTCAGGAACAGGGTCTCACTATGTAGTTCAGGCTGGCCTTGAACTCAGCAATTCTCCTGCCTCAGGCTCATGAGTGCTGGGATTACAGGTGTGTGCCCCAAGCCTGGCTTTTAAGTTTTAATAATTACTGTTATTATTGTACTGGGGATTGAATCTAGGGCCTTTTCACAGAGCTATATCCCCAGCCCTTCTTAAATTCTTTTTTTTTTTAATTTTGAGACAGGTCTAACTAAGTTGCTAAGTTGTTCAGGCCAGGCTTGAACTTGTGAGCCTTCTGCCTCAGCCTCCCAGATTACTGGAATTACAGGCGTACACTATAATGTGTGTGTATAGACATTTGTGAGAGTGTTTTTTGGAAGATGTTTCTGGAAGTAGAGGGATCAGGTCAAAAGTCAGATATCTATTTTAGGGCTGAGTTTAGTTCCGTAGCAGGGTACCCATCTGGCACGTACCAGGTCCGGAGTTGAGTCACTGAGCTGAAGAGAGCTGAGGGTGGGTTACATGTCTGTATCACATTTTGGTTAATTTTGCCAGACTGTGCTACTACCAAAACAGTATATTAACACCTGATTCCTGAAATGTTCATCTACACCTGATGCCATCAACTTTTTGGAAAAGAATTTTTTTTTGGTACTGGGGATTAAATCTGCCAGACTAGCACTCTACCACTAATCTACATCCCCCAGCCTTTTGTAAAATTTAATTTTGAGACAAAGTCTTGCTAAGTTGCCTAGGCTAGCCTCAAATTTGTGATCTTCCTGCCTCCTTACTGAGATTACAGGTGTGCAGCACCGTGCCCAGAAATCTTTGTAAATTTTGCTAATCTGACTGGGGGGAAAATCTCATTGTTTTAACTGTGTGTGGTAGTGGATGACTGCAATCTCAGCACTTTGGGAAACCTGGTATCAAATTTAAAAAACAAGTAAGGGTATAGCTCCGTGTGACTGCCCTACGTTCAATTCTCAGTACAAACAAACAACACATGCATTGTTTGACTCATGTGGAAGAAGCTGCTCACACACCTCTTCCTCATAAGGTGATAAGGATAGATCCGGGGCTCATTTGTGCTCTCACAAGTACTATGCAGTGTGATTACTATTCCAATACCCCTCCCCAAGGCTTCACTTCCCACAGTTTCATTGCCCAAAGCCAAACTAATGTCTGAAAATATCAAGTGGAAATTCCGGAAATAAGCAATTCATAAGTTTTAAATTGCATACCGTTGGAGTGGCGTGATGGGATCTCGCGCTGTGTGAATTGCCCTTTTGTTCTGGGACCCAGGCTGTGTGCCCTACGCTGCTGTGTCTCTGTGATCAGACGGGCTGGTCATCAGCAGTGTTGCAGCCCCTGTATCCAAGTAACCCCGAATTTACTTAATGATTACCCCAAACTGAGGGTCTCTTAAGTGAAAAGGTGAAAGTAAATGAAGATATTATGAGCAAAGAGACCACACTCATATAACTTTTATACAGTACATTGTGTCATTGTTTTAGTTTTCACTGTTGCCATTAATCCCCTTCTGTGCCTAACTGGTGCACCATGTCATATGCGTCTGTGCAGGGAACCAACAGACCATGTAAATGCGTGGGGCTATTGCAGCTCCCAACAACTGGGGCCCTGGGATGTGTCCCTGAGGATTGAGGGCTGCTGTGCTCTCGGGTGTTCATGAGTCTCCTTCCTGCTCTGCCCCTTTCCCTTCAGTTCCCTTCTACGTCATGCTTTCTTTGCTGTTGTTTGCAGTGCTCAAAATAAAAAATTGAAAAGAAGACTGGGGAATGTAGTTCAGTGCAAAGGTTCTGAGATCAATCCTCAGTTCCCCCCCGCCCCACCATAAAGGGGTCCCTGTACAGAAGAGCCAGGGGAGTGCAAAGTATCCAAACTCATGTCCTTCAAAAACATCAGACAATATGACATAAAACACAAAAGCAGAGACTAGCATGTCTGAAGTTCTCCCCTGCTCAGGCCAGCCTCTCCTCTCTCCAATCAGGGGTTTCTTCAACCTCCTAAATCAGGTGTACTGGACTTTCCCAAATCTCCTCTCAAAAGCAGAAAATATTTCTATCTTGAAAGCTTTTGGATCAGCAAACCTGCTTATGTTCGCTCTATCTATCTATCTATCTATCTATCTATCTATCTATCTATCATCTGTCTATCACAGTGTTAGGGATGGAACCCATGGTCTATGCATTCCAGGCAAGTACTCCAACACTAAGTAATACCTCCCCCCATCAGTTTTTGGAGGGCTCAGGTGGGCAGTACTGGTATTGAACCCAGGGCCTTCACACTGGGTTACATCTCCAGCCATTTGAAAATAATTTTTAATTTTTTTTGAACATAGAACAGTGAACACATTATATGAGCTAAGACAGGAGGGAGGGTGACTCATTTGCCTTACCGGGCCTTGATTTTCCTCACAGAAAACTCGGGCTCCTTGTCCTCTAGCACACAGCCATCTGCTTGGCCACTCCAGCACAGTCTCGACGTTGGTACTAATCTCGGAAAGACTGTGGATTTTGGCTTGACATTCGTTTTCCTTTCATCATACTTTCTTTCTCACTAAGTTGTCCAGGGTCGACTAGAACTTTCAGTCCTTCTGCCTCAGCCCCCGAAAGTGCTGGGATTATAGGTGTGCACCACCTCAACCAGCTAGAGAGCCCTGTTAGTTTGAAAGTAACAGTAGATTTGCTGCCTTGCTTTGCAGAACCCAAATGCTAAGCTGACTCAGTGGTAAACATTTTACTGGGTATTTCTTTGTGTGCCACTTCAGTTCTTTGCAGCAGGAGATTCAAACTCGCAATTAATTTCCTGGTTTTCAAGATTTCCTAGACCCTGGGGCTCTCTGATGTCATCAGTATGCATAATTTAGTGATTATAACTTCATTTCTGAGCCTTTATTCCTTTGAAGGAATGTATTATAGAATCAGATCACAGCTGCCGCTCTGGTCTTCTCAAGGGGGAGCTTCTGATCCCACAGGAGCTGAAGGTGGGTGTCCAGGCCTTCCCTGACCCCCAGTTTCAAACAGCCAAGGTCAAGTGCCTCCCTGTCATTTGAGCCTTGAAACTTCTGGGGCGGGGGTGGCTGTTGCACTGTTTTGTGAATACTGGGAGTCACCAGAGCACACCAAGGAAATGCCTTGGAGGAAGTCTGGGTCTGAGCTGCTCTTGTCTCCACAGGTCAGGCCTCCAGCAGAGCACCTCCCACCTCTGCCCACAGGTGAGAGATGAGGCGTGCCCAGAGCTATGTGCTGCCCCCTCCTGCAGGAAGCTGCAGAGACTTCTGCAGAGCCTGCAGGCTCCACCAGCAACTCCAGCAAACCAGTAGCTCCTGAAAGCAGTGTGAGGGGGTACTTCATCCATCCCACAATGTTCTTTGCCACATCGCTGCAATGTTAAATGCCAAGAATTAAATCAGTTCCTGCGGAACAGCATTCTCATCATGGAGCTGATCTTCTCAGTGAAGCACACTGATGATAAAAACAGCAGAGAACCCAACCCTCTAGTACACAGGTGGTGAACCTATGGCCGGTGTGCCCAGTGGGCTCTTTGTCATCACTGAAAGCTCCTCTAAAGGTTTTGCCATCACTGCTCTACTATTTGGCTCCCCACAACTTTTAAAGCATTGCCCAATTCCAAAGCTAGGTCTTGAGAGTGGCAGAAATCAAAGACAGCACAAAAGGCCAGGGTTCAGAAAGGCTACTATTGTGGCTAACCTCTCTAATTGTGCTTTCTTACACTGTTTTTCAGTACTGAGGCTTTGAACCCAGGGCTTCCTGCATAGAGGCAAGTGCTCTACCTCTGAACTATCTCCCCCAATCCTGAATTGCTTTCACCTGCAATAAAACCATAAAAGTAATAAAAGGGGCACATAAACAAATCGAGACTGTATGAACCTACTGTAGTGTGAAAAATGAATATAGCTCCCCCTTTGTGCCCACATTGGAGCTCAGTGAGCCCCC